CCTTTTTCATTTTATTTTACAAAATGTTTGGTCATCTCTCGTACTTGCCTAATAATTGTGGGATACACTAATATATCTTATTCGCTCCCAAAATGCTCTTTGTCAAAAGTTGGCTCTCTATGGGGTGTTTAGAGTGGAGTTTATTTAAGAGCTATTAATTGTTAATTTTAGTTAAATAAATTAAATATTTTTAATTTTTTTAATAATTATTATTTTTAATTATCAAATCTTAATATCAATTATCAGTTATATTTAAAAAATTAATCCAAACACCCACTATATGTTTTGAATTAACCTAGAACTGGCATATTTCTATGAAACTTCATATTTGTGAAAGAAGAAAAGAACATATTGCTTTTTGTGAAGAATGAAGAATAAAAAAATTAGCAATTTTTTTTGGGTTTTTCTAAACATAGGATAAGAGTATATTTATTATAATTTTTTATTATAAATATACATTAAAAATATAAAAATTGATATTAAATTCAATGTCAAATGAATTTAATTAAACAATTGATAAATTAAATATTAACTTTTATTTTTTAATATAAATTTATAATAAAAAATATATTTAATACATTTTTAATTCATATCATAAATAAACTTTTTTTTTTTATAAGCAAAATCGAGTAACAGGTCCGTGGTATAATAAGCATAATTAAGCAACTTTTATGGGATCGAATGAATGCATATTTCCATGCGCGTGAACTCGGTACTTATCATATACTCCCTCTGTTCCATTTTAATAGTCGTTTTAGGTGATTTTACGAGAATTAAGAAAATCAATTAATTACACTTAATTTTATGGACAAATGCATTTAAAATACAATTTTACCCTTCTAATGCTCTACCATTTATCACCTGCTAATCCTTCTTTTTTTTTAACTCCATCATAACGGACAAAACTCCAAACTAAACAAAAAAAATACATAAAAGATATCTAATCATAAGTTTCAAGAAATCAACCTTTATATGTATATGTTTTTTTTTTCTTTCGCTTGCCTTGAAGAAATTGGGTTTTACCAAATCATAGTGATGGAGCCATCGAAGAGTAACAGTAGAGTGAGAACAAGATCGGGGAATTTGAAACCGTCAAGAAGATTATCTTGTTGTAGGACTCTACTGGTAGAAGAAACGTAGGGAGAAGATGACCTTTGAATTGAAAGAAAGAGAAATTTTAGTTCATTGGGTTTAGGATTTTGTATTTATTACAGGTAAATAGGAAGGGTAAATTTGGAAGAAAAAAATTAATGTTGTATAGAAATCCTAAAACGACAGATATTTAGAAACAAATTTTAATCTCTAAAACGACTATTAATATGGAACAGAGGGAGTAATATTGTCTGGAGATGCAATACAAGAAATTGTTGCAACCAATAAAATGGAGGGAGGAACTCCGCCGGTCCGATGGGTCGTAAAGGAAGTGAGATATTCATCAAATCTAGAATTAAATTTTTAACTATTAATAATTAATTAAATTATTCTACTAATTATTATCCTTGTAAAAAAAAAAAAAAAGAGGGAGCAAGTATTTCAATCCTAATTTACACCATAGATTAGTTAGAGGATGACTTTCTGTCTTCAACAAAACCCGTGTATCCCGCATTTTCAACTAACTCACTGGGTTAAAAAATATAAATAAATAATAATAATAAAACCGACGTGGTTTGCTTTAAATAGATGCGACTATAATGTTGTCTCGTTAAGTAAGAAACTGCTGGATTCAACTAACTCACTGGGTTAAAAAATATAAATAAATAA